AAATCCCCTCATGTTGGAGATGCTTGAAAATGCATTTTCACAAAAACCTAAAAATGATTTAAAATGAAAATAATTAAAAATCTCAAGAGGTGTGTTTTGAAAATTTAATCTAGAAGCACTGCAGGGTAGGTATTTATCAGCAGATTGCTAACATATGAAAATTATACAGTGAAACAGATGTAGTTACTTAAAGGTAAATTATCCAGTGCAATACAGAGAACAAAGCCATTGCATACATGCAAGACTTGTATTTGTGTGTGGGAACTGTAATTTTGTGTTTGGCAGGAGTTAGAGGTAGATAAGCATGTGGTCTCCTCTATATTGGTTCTTTTAGAACAATGTAAGCTTTGAGGGACCTGATAGTCACTTTCTATAGCTCTACCTATATTTGAAAGAAATGTATTCAAGGCCATAACAGTTGATGATTACATATGCAAGAACTTATGCTGTCACAAGTGAAGCATCACATCACCTTTGTCCTGGAATATCAGTTTGTCCTTATCCCCCTCCACAGCCCTCCAGATCTGTGTGTAGTTGTGTTGTAGTGGAAGGGCATGGGACCATGTAGGTGGGAGGTCCCTTAGGCACGCAGGATGTAGACTGTGCACACAAGGGGGAGGACACATACTGTGACCACCCACATTATCTTTGCTGTCACTATTTTCACCAGTGAGAATCTGTTTCTTCATCCCTGGTGCTGAGTAAGATGCCCCTAACTTCACAAGTAGAATTCTCTTTCTGAAATTGTTTTCTTAGATAATAATTTTTTTGATACATGTGTGGAGTACATAATGACTACATTCATTGTGGGGAGTTAGTACGTGTCCATGACATTTCTTATTTCTTTTATATAACCTCCACCCTCTCTCTCCTTGTGTCTCTTGGACCCCTTCATATGCATAATTTTATACATGTTTGTAGTACATGATGGTGCTCATGCTAGTTACTGAAGGTGCAGGTGATGACCCAGATGACTATCAAGTGAAAGTAGCGGTCCTGCTGGAGTGCCAGCTTCTACCCTATGAATATGGATTCCTGATTAGGACCACTGACTGCCCCTAGAGTACAGCTTAAGCTGACTAGCACAGTTTTGGTTTCGTTGTCCATCAGGCAATTTTAAAGTAAATTATGGACATTTCATTATAACAGACCTGGGGCTTTCAACCATTGGCATGCAGCTTTTGCCCTTGGCCAGGTACTTATTTCCACTTCTACCTGGGCTCAAGCCGAGTTTCACTCGCAACTACAGTCTTAGTGTACCTAAGCGTTGAAGGAAGATTAATCACAGTTACTTATTTGAGTGCTCATGTAGGTGGCTTTATTTACTATTGTCACTGTGCTAACTGCAGTAAGATTTGGCCTGTAAGACCTAACGACCTACTGAAACAAAAAAATGTTTTTTACAGGTTTCCCTCCTTGTGGAATGGTTTCCCCTTACTCCTGTTGTGATCTGCTTTCTTTCACCTGTAGAATAAGGGGTCTGGACCAGACTGGCTCCTCCTTCCCTGTGGCTTTGAGGAGCTCTGGTGGTCTTCCTGCCCCAGGAGGTGCTACCAGAGCTAAGTCTGCAGCAGCCTGAACGGGAAAGCCCTGAAGCGGCCTGCAGCCTTGGGTTTGGGCCTTTCTTCTTCACCATCATGATGGTGGATCCTGAGCCCTGGTCCTCACTAGGTGGGAGTCCAGCCAGCTCTGTCCACATCCTGATGAATGGGATGTGTGGTGATAGCACCCAGACACTGCTGTAGCAGGGGTGTTCTTTAGAACATGAAGGACATCAAAAAGGGAAATAAGTGGGATCCAACTGCCTTCCTTCAGTTTTTATGTAGTCATTGATCAAAAACCCACGATGAGTGTAGTGTGCCTTCCTAGCTTTGCTTTAAAATTGAATTTTACTTTCTCAGCAGGCTGCATAATTTGTTCAAGGCAGCAAAGACTCTTTGCATTTGAATACTGAGAGCTGTTTTAGAGGAATAATGGGGCTGTTTAGGTGTCTATATTTAATCTCAATTTAAATATTATTTTACGATAGGCTTTTGCTTCAATGGCCATTTATTCTTTAATAATAGCTATTCCTCATTGCACAGAAATTTAACAGTGAAAACTGAAAGGAGAATTGATAGGTGTAGATATTCATTCCACGTTCAGAACCTGTTGACTGCATTCAAGGAATATGCTCAGATCCTTGGCTGATACTCTGGTGAAAGGATTCTTTTATTTGTTCATCTGTTTCTATAATCTACTTTCCCTTTGCTGTTCTCTGTCCTTTGGTTCTCATTATTTTGCTCATTTCCAAATGGGTCAGGCTAGACCTTGTGTTTGCCCACATCACTAGAACGACAAGGAGATTTGGCAGATATCAGTTGCTTCTTCTGTTGAATTTTTTTTTTCTGGGATAGTTTAGTTTAGTTCTCTTTGCCAGTTCATTGAGATAAATTCATTATTAAACTATCTTCAGTTTATTCAGCTATAGTTTGGTCATCAGTTTCTTTTTTTTTTTTTTTTTGGTTTTTCTCCGGTACCGGGAACCGAACTCACGACCTTGCGCTTGCCAGGCAGGCGATTTTGCCGCTGAGCTAAATCCC